ATTATATTTGATTCTATTTACATAATTAATATAATTATCTATTATAATAAAATTATAAAATAAATTAATTATTCTTTATTGATTATATTTATAATAAATATGAAGAATTAAAGTTTTGATATGAGCCTACACAATAGATGTTAGCATTCTTCTATAAAGACCTTGCTAATGTATAAAAACAAATGTGTAACAAAGATATAAGATGAAGTTTTTAAATTTGTTTAAAATATGGTCACTCTTAATTTAATAAAATTTGATGTATTGCATCTGATATTAAAATATTACATATATTTTTTATAATAATTAGATATTCAAATAATAATATTAACACTAAAGAATCACTCTCCAGTACCTTATTTTTCAAAGAATTCCTAAAAGATAAGTTGTAATATACTATCCAAAGAAAATCATGACTCATATTAGATAACTTATATAAGATGCAAGATTCTTCAACTCTTATTTTTACTATTAAATTAAATTGAATACCATATCTTATAATTTTTATTTTAAATTAATTATTTAAAGAATTTTAATTAATTTTTTTTATATAATTTATATATGTAAAAAATTATATAAAAAAATAAATTTATATGATACAAGATTTAAAGAGCTACATAATGTATCATGACTAAATATATGTTTTTATAAACTTACAATTGTCTCTTAACATTTAAATATTTCTAATGATTTTAAATGAAAAAGATTATATATTTGCTTTATCTAGACGAGTTATTTAGTAGCAAATAAGGATTCTTTAATATTTAAATATTTCTAATGATTTTAAATGAAAAAGATTATATATTTGCTTTATCTAGACGAGTTATTTAGTAGCAAATAAGGATTCTTTAATATTTAAATATTCCTAATGATTTTAAATGAAAAAGATTATATATTTGCTTTATCTAGACGAGATATTTAGTAGCAAATAAGGATTCTTTAATGTAAAATGTAAAATAGGATATCTAGAATTGTTTTTAAAAACATGCTAGATAAGTATTTAAAAGTAGCCAAAACCTACATTGATGAATTTATTAGAAAACTAAAAAATTATGATTTGGATCAATGAGTATCTATTTATATCTTTCTTTTTATTTTTGATTTAAAATTAGAATATTACTAAAATATAACAAAAAAATTTACATATTTTACATAGATTTTAGTTAGAGATTTTAAAATAGTCTTTTTTTGATAATAATTTTGATTTAAAAATATTTTGAAGCTAAAAAAGATCTAAAAGAAATGAAAAAAGAAAGAAAAAAGAAAGAAAAGTTAGAATTCTTCTTTGATTGGATAGATTTTAAACAAGATCATACTTATTGTTTGGAAAAGAAATTCATGAGCATAGAATTCAAAGAGAATCAGTCTTCTTAAACCACCTTTTAGTGGAACTATTTATCTAACTTTGAAATACCTAAGTATTTTTATTCATTTATTTACTAATTTTTCAATATAAATTTTTATAATATTTATGGAACTAATAACAAATGCATATGATACGAAACACACAAATCAGATATATTTGGTTTGGTAGAAATAACAGCTAATAAAATTGGTGAGTTTTCAAGAGTTTTTTCAATTTTTATTTTAATTATAGAATTTTTACTATTTTTTAGTTTATTAGAAGAATTTAAAATGAAAATATTGATATTAAATAAAATAAATGTGGTAAAAAGAATTAAAATTCTACACAATATTATTTTCTTACTTCTATGTATCTTTATATCAATTTATATAAGATTATTAAAAGAGTTTATATAAAATTAATACTATGGTAAAAATATGTTACAAATCTAATTAAATTATCTTAGTATTATTTATTATAAAACTTTAATAAAGCCATTATTTATTAAATATATAATTAAGAGTCAAAAAAATTGTTTTTTGTAATTTTATTTTATTTTTTAAACAATGAAAAGAACTATGTATTGAGATATAAATTGACATAACCATAAAATTCCGCCACATAACAAAGGCCTAAGATAAAAACTCAACACCAACATAAAAAAATAAAAAAAATAAAAACCCTAGAAAGTGTTGGTGCATCGCAGCACAGAGTGACGCATCCGGCAACAACTGGGCTACGCGACGCTGCGAGACAGACGGGGGCAGTAGCAGAGACTCTGACGAGTGGAGCAAGCGAGGTGCGCAACAGGGTCCTGGGAGAGGAAAACGATGATGCGCGATTGCTGGCTTGTGGATAGGTCAGCGTTATTGCTGGGGAGGCGTGCACGAAGAAGAGGACTACAAACAGACAGCATGGCTGAGGTCAGTCAAACGAGGAATTACAGGAAGAATTGCAACAGCAACACCAACAATACCTGAAGAGTGGCAAGAAGCAGAGAAAGGGGGGGCAGACCCTGGCTTGTTGACTACGAGGTGCAGATGCAGCAGCAGCAACTCCGGAATTAATCTCCAAAATGCGCAATACAAACATGTGCGGTGCTGATGCAATTTTCTGCCCCGTAACAACCTTCGCTGTCTGCTTCCTCTTCTTCATTTTCCTTCTTTTTTTTTTGGTTTGTTTGCTTGGTTGTTTGGTGTGGATATTTATGGAAGATTAATATTTATGTTCGCCACTCTTCTCTCCCCTTCTTAGATTCCCAATCGTGAGTTAAAAATTGGAGTTTTTTTCTTGTAGTAATGTGGATCACATGTTGATTGTAGATTTAGTTGGTTTATTTATTTACTTATATATATATATATATATATATATAGGAAATTGTTAAACTGATCCAAGTATTTACTAAATCAATCCACCCATCCTAACCATCATCAAAACAAATTCCACTGTCAGATCCATATTGGTTCAAAAATCAATGAAAAAAATGGTTAGATCTTCAACCAATTATGATGGATGGGTTGATTTAATAAATGCTTGGGTTACTTTAACAATTTCATAGATATATAATACATCAAATAATTTTTTATTTGAAAGTTAAAATTTTGTTTAATGAAAAAAATATAATTTGGTTGAATAGAGTTTTTACTGTAATTTACATTTTGGTATTTTTTAAATATTTTGAATATCATAATATTATATGTGTTAGTTTATTATTTTTTTATTGTTTCAATTCTTTAATAACATTATTCTTTAAGAGTTTATTGATTTGATTCTTTAAGAGTTGATTTAGTGAAGAATAGATATGAATTTTATTATGTTGGATAATGGTACTATTAATTGTCTATGCACCATGCTTGTCTTATTGGTATTAAAGGAATAATGATATTTTAAAGTAATATCTATCAATACACATTCCAATCTTCCTAAATCACTTCCTAAATTCTTATAAACTTTTTGAAAAAAAAAATTCAACATGCACTTTAAAATATCAAGGATAGTCCACAATTTTTTTAAGTGGTATTATTTGGAATTTACTTACATTATACTACGACAATCTTCAAGATCTTAAACAAAGGTGTAATAGCAAAATTTCTATGCTAACTTAGGAAATTTTTACACACAATTTTCTTATAACTTTGGCACATATTATTAATATAATCTCAATTTGATTGAAATAAAATTTTAAAGTTGGTATTATGTTTTAAACTTATTTTAGATATTAATTTTTTTTTAAAATTTCTAATATTGTAAGATTTATATAGTTAAAAATTTATAATTTAGTAAATATTTTTTAGATAAGATAATCATTATTCTCATAAAAATAAATAGTAGAAACTACTTAATATTATCTAAAAAAGAGATGTGTAACATTTAAGTCGACCAAATCAAGTTAATATGTCTATTGACTATGAATTTTTTTCTCTTTATATCTCATACATTACTTTTTTAAAGTAGATAGACCTAAATATAATTTCTTATTTTTTCACAAAAAAAACTTTATATTTTAGTTATATTAAGCCTAATTTTTTTAATCTATTAGTTCTAGAAAAGTAAAAGATATATATATATATATATATATATATATATATAAACTAATATATTTTTTAAATATGTAATTTAAACTTCAATTACAATTTGGATATAATTCATATAATTCAATTTGGATATAACTCATATAATTCTAACCACTAATTACCTTTTGTGAATTAATTTATTTTAATTCCATACTTCAATTTACATTAATATATTTTATAACTTCGGAAGTAGCAAATTGTAAAATTAAGTAATGTAAAATTTAACTCCAACTTGCTACTTTCTATGTTCTTTGCTAAGAATCATGCTATCTCTTTCTAATAAGATATGTCAATAAAACCAACACAACAACCAAAGTAGCAACAACAGAAAAGTATTCAAAGGCTACATGACCACAGGTGCAAAGTTTCAAAACAGTCCATCAAACTTTGATGACAAGAGAGGCATTCAAATCTAAAAAAAATGAGTTTCTCACAAACAAATAAAAGAAAGAAATGAAACACGTAGATATTTGCAATAGTCGTCACATAGTACACAATCCTGACAACAAAATCTTACAAAAAAATACATATATATATATATATATATATACATCTACGTACATGCAGATGCTCATCAAAGAAGCAAAGAAGGGGTGGACTTGCTACTGATGCAGCATGAATCAAGGGAACCCATACAACGAGAACATGGAGCACACGGCGTCGAACTACAAAGGAATGCGGTCTCAGACACACAGCCTTGCAGCACAGCACAGACAAGCCTGGGACAGAAAAATAACAGAAGCAAAATTTAACAGAAAGGTATAACAGATAAATAAATATATGGGTAGGAAAGGAATAAAGGCAGAGAGGCAGAAAGAAAGAAAGAAAGAAAGAAAGGAGAATGGAATGTAAGGAAGGAAAGGAAAACAAGCCCCATGTGGAGTGAATTATTGTGATTATTCCTCCGGATGATCAGTGCCCAGCTCCATGAGTAGCAGCAGCAACGCTTGCGCTGCAGCTCCACCTGGCGTTCAGAATCATGCTTGAGAATCACCGGCACCACAAGGGAGACAAGCACCATCAACAATAACAACAGCAACAATAACAGAAGCAGAGGGAGGGAGATATTATGTTTTCTGGCACCGAAATGGGAGTATAAAGAGCCCCGGAGGAACAGCCTGATGTCGATCTACAGCAACGGTGATGCTAGTCGAAGAGCCGTGTGTGGAGCAGGCAGGCGCATGGTGAAACTGGCGGTTTACGCATCTCGGTTGTTTGTTTGCTTCATATGTTGTGGTGCCGCAACATGACAAATTGCTCCGGGAGATAGATAGATCCCACGGAACGGACCGGATCCGCTGCAGTGGTGGTGGTGGAGCGGTGGTCCCTAGCTTGTCCTTCGAACTGGATAGAGTTCGTGAGAGAAGAAGGGCCACCGAGCATGAGGCGTTGTACCAGCAGGCGCATTGTCAGTAGGCAATTTGCTTGCTCGCCATAGCCTTGGGCAGACTTCCTCAGCAGGCTACCCTGTATATATATCAAACCCCACCCTTTCGCATCCTTTCACGTCTAGTGTTTGGCGCCCGCTGTCTCATCCACAATTTCGCAGTAGCTGTCCATATATCCCTGGTGAGTGGGAGCCCTTCGTTGTAGTCAGCACTGCATCTGTTCTAGCTCGGAAATCGGACCCCAGAATGTTCATTTCGTTTCGATTGTTGCTGACATGAGGATTGGATCCTGGCCGAGGCTTTTGTGGACGTTGGACTGGATTCTGAAGGGTGGCGGAAGTGAGTGTTCTCCTGTCCATTCTAGTGTGAGTGTGATCTGCGATTAGCTGAGATGGAGTCGATCCAGCTTATTGGAAAGCCAAGTTAGTATTGCATCATCCATCTGATATTCCATTCTTAGTGTCATGTGACGGTGGATCTGATCACTTCATGAGTTTGGATGGAAATCTGAATTGGGCTGGGTCCCTGAACTAGGTTAGGTCCCATTTCGTGATTCTCTTCGGGAAGAAACTTGCTACGATTTGAGCTGCTGATTTGAATGTGGTTATTCTAGTTTTCTCAGTAACTCACGGAATGGGTTAGCAAAGCGAGCCTTTTAGAAACCTGTCACATGATTCAACCTGCTGTCAGTAGTCTTCAGCATTTCTATTGCAGATTTGGTAGTCCTATCGGAGTCGTATGACTGATTTGAACTCATGCAACTTTGGTGGACTTTTCCTGTTTCCCGTCAAACACCCCCGATGGAATCCAAACTCCGTTTCCTAAGCTTCCTTGCTTCGTCACTGTCGCAGGGCCTGTTTTGTTGCGTTGTAGACTTGTGACTGTAACCTGCACTGCATTCTTCTGGGAAAAGAAGATTCAATCGTAAGCTGATACTTCGATGTTGGCTGTAGCTTGTAGTCCTTTTCCCCTCTCAAGTCTTATATTCAGTCTCATTGTCGCTGACGTTTCACATCGGCGACCTCACGTGTCATCTTGTCATCTTCCTCTCCGGAAATTCTCAAGCTGAACCTACGATATTAGTACTCCTAACTTGTCGAAGCACCCGTCTTAAGATAGCCGCAGTCAGACTCTGCACGCCCACTCCGCTCGTCGGCTGGTACTCCCCAAGTTGTCGCGTGGTAATTTTGAGAGTACGAATGCCTGTAAGCAAGCGTGTAAGTTGTTTCCCTCGCGATAGAAGTGCGTGGGTGGTGGCTTAATCTAAGTGCTGCAACAACTTGAGGAGTACCAGGTCGACGAGCTTCAAAGTTCATGAATTCACTTTTAATTGGCTTTCATCAATCAATGCTTGAAGTGTTTCCTAATTGGACTGTAGTTAGCTGAAGCTAACCATGGTACATTTTTGTGTATGTTGACTCTAGTACTTTTTGCTGTGGTGCGGACAGGTTTTTTTAAATTTCATCATCTGCAGTATTATCGTCCTGCACTACCTTGCAATGTCTCCATTTCAAAGTTAGCAAGAAACTCTGTTTCGATTACCCGGCGTCCTGGGATCATCAACTTTCCAAAGAAGCTAAATCATCGAGGGTTGAGAGAATCTAAAATTCACATCCATTCGGAGCTATTTGTGCTTGTCGACAATTCAATGTTACAATCGGCAACTATGTCTGCCTGTGTGAGCGAAGCCAATTCGACCGTTAGTTCTGGGCTACATGTCGCCCTCCTCCGCGATTCCAAACAGCTACCAGAAATGTTCATTGAATCAGACCATAACCACCGGCCAAGCCCAGACTCCAGATGCCTGGAGAACCCAAACTTTGACATCCCTGTTGTAGACATATCCTACCTAACTACTGGCGACGCTAACCAGAGGGCTAAGGCTGTCGCAGCCGCAGCGAAAGCCTGCCAAACCTGGGGCTTTTTCCAGGTTCAGAACCACGGCATCGATCAGATGCTCACAAAGCGGTGCGAGGTGGAAGCTCATCGTCTGTTCCAGCTCCCTCTCCATGTCAAGGAGCGATGTCACCGCGCACCAGGCACGTCCTTTGGATACGGCGCCAACACATGGATTAACCAGAAAGTGATGCACTGGGCTGAGAGCTTCCATATGCAGCTCAATCCCACGTCCAACATCCTTGAGATGGCAACCAAGCTTTTCCCAGACGAATCTTCCAGCCACCTATTCAGGTACAGTGCCTGTGTTCATGATCTCGGAGGTTTGTCCCCCAGTCTGGTCTCCGAAATGCGTCTGATCATCCCAAGTTTGTCCAAGTTTTTCTGCCTTTTGTCTTAAAGATACATATTATTAATGCTTCCTTTTCAAATATAAAATATTTTTCGTCGACAGATAATCCTAAGGTAGGGACTTTAGGGAACTATTTGATGCTGGTTATAAAACCATAACTCAGAAAGAAGAGTGCTTGAGATGAGCCATCTTTCATGAGTTGACTACAGGAACAATGTACTCACGAACGGTTCAGAAAGGTGACCGCAGACCCATACTTCGCTTTCAGGTCTCTGAATAATAAAACGCTTGTCTCTAGCATTGCAACGCAACAGGGCCTACGTGAGCCCAAAGCGCACCTGCAGAGATACTGAAGCTGAATATTACGAGTATGCAGGATTTATTAAATGGAGAAAGGAACCCCTTCCATCTCGGTTATCATTCTTCTGTTACTGTAAGGTAGCATGACGTAATTCTGCACGTGTCAACGCTTAAAGGAGCAAATCATCTCGAACTTAGTAGCCGGATGAGACAAAACCGCGTTCAAGGTTAACTTCGACTAGCTGAGTAATCTATGTTTTCTTAGTTGGGCAGACACCATTTAAAGGTTCTCTGGTATAGCTCCAGCGAATTAAATAAGACGCGGTCCAGATTGTCATTCATATTAGTTCGCTCATGAAGAGTAGCTGGAGATATCACCCGAACTATCTTATCAATTGTAGGGTCCTACGGTAAGAGAATCAACTCGGGTGCACTTGTGACAAGGTGCTCTTAATGCCTGATATCATGCACATCACGAAGATTCCTTCTAGTGCTGTCAAAAGTCCAGTTGCCGTTGTGTGATTCGAGATCGACAGTATGCACTGTCGAGCAAGCAGTGGTCGAGTGCAATAGCTGGGACATGGCTGTGAAGATTCGTGAATGACAACTGTAGGCCTTCGCGAGTGCTGTAACTATAATGCTGGGGTCCAAGCACGAGGTTGCAATGTTCACTGGTCGTGGTTCTGATTGCAACCAATAATTTGGCCAATTGGATGAACTGGAACTGGAATAACGAAGCTAGTGTCATGGATTTACACGACAATATCTAAACATACACTCAAATTTCTCTTTACATGCTGAGATTGTCTTACGTGGTTTCAGTCGTTAACTGAAACCAGCGAGGAGAGATTGGATGTCGACATGAGCGTGATTGGAATTTTGTGCAATGCGTTAAAGTGATATTCAGTGTCGGTTACTAGATTGTCCTGGTTGACAATGTAGGAAGTTTAGTTCAGGGTGGTTGGACTGACAGTGAATGTAGATGGTGCGCAGCTCGACTGTTGAAGAATATATGAAGAGTGTGGAGAATCTGGCAACTCAGGTGCTGGAGCTTCTCACGGAAGGGCTGGGATTAGAGCGCAACTGTTTCAGTCAGTATCTGCAAAGAGAAAGAATGACATCCATGCGTTTTAACTTCTATCCTCCTTGCCCGGAGCCGTCTCTAGCGATTGGCCTACGAGCTCACACAGATCCTCATCTCTTGACAATTTTGCACCAGGACTCCGTTCCTGGTCTCCAAGTTCAAATGGGAGACAAATGGGTCACTGTTAAACCGCGCTTAGATTGCTTCGTGGTCAATATCGGTGACCTATTCCAGGTCAGTGTTAGGTCATTAATCGCCCTGACTTCCTCACTGGTCCCACAACTACAAGCTTGTTTTGGTGGATCAGCATATCTTGAATATTCTCATGGCTATGATAGTTGCAGGAAAACTGACACCATATTGTTGAATTGATGACACTGGTCCAGATTCTGAGCAACACGAGGTACAAGAGCGTGCTGCACCGAGCCTTCGTGAACAGCGAATCACAGCGCTTGTCACTGGCATGCTTTCTCAACCCACCTCTGCATGCTACCGTAGTGGCACCCCCCGAGCTCATCACTCCTGAATGCCCCCAAGTCTACAGGCCCTTCACATGGCTGGAGTATCTCAAGAACGCTTACTTGTACCACCCGACAGCTGGAAACGAGCGACACGAGCGATTTTATCTCAAGTCGATGGTCGATGTTCCCGCCGTGGCTCCCTCCTCAGTTCATTGAGGGGATGAAAATTGTGAGAGAATATTGTAATCACTGTACAAGGTGGTTTTATCAGTTTCATGAAAGCAGAGTTCTATTTGAAGAGACTTATGGTGCTCTCTCAATGATATAAAGGTAGAGCCTGATTAAGCTTGCCTGGAAACTTAAACCTCCATGTGATCGGGAAGGTGATTCAACCTGAAAGCAGTACAGAAACCATATATATTAGCAGCATTTACAGTTGTGTGCAAAGAGGTCGAAAAGAGAGGCACTCATAGCTTTGGCTGCCTCACTGGTAAAATGTCGCATGTGCAATTCACACATATAAATTTAAAGATTTTAGGTCCATATCCATTACCACGTATTTTTGTTATGAATTTCAATCTATTTAGGCACCGTAGTTTTCTACGTCACAGTGCAATAACTATGTAGCTGTATGATAATAGGAAAGTATCTGTGAAACGTTTCGAAACTTAAGAGCAAACTTTCGCACATCACGGAGTGTTTTCCGGGGCAGGTCCACAAGGATCCACAAATCGTTGCTATCAACAACACTCAACAGAACCCTTGTACAACACACATGAATTATGAGAAAGCTGACAGAGAAATGTGTCTGAAGCTTGGTCCTGAGCAACAGCCTTTCAAACTCTACACAACAAATTCTGCGATTTGCTCAAGGCATTTGGGTCGGTACCATGATGGGATTTCTCTTTTGTGTTATGCCCGACCACGACTCAAGTTCTTTATTCACAACGCACCAGCTACGCGTACCATCGTGGAGGTTGCACATGTTACATGCAGCACATGATCATTCAAATAACCCTTAACAGCTGAAAAAGATTTGTCAGTACGAGTTGCGAGCTCTATGCTGAGAGGACAAGAAGTTTGTTAAAAAATTGGCCAAGTGTGGTGAACTTTCCAACTGTAAATATGCACCGTGCGCACCCCCTACATTAACATCCTACCCCTGGCCATCAGAACATTCCCCTTGGTATGGCTTAACCTAGAGTTTCGACCATAGAATTCACGTTGCATTCGATGTGAGCAGAGACACTGGAGTCTGGAATCTCAAACGCAGCCGAAACATTTCAACCATTTATAATCAATACATAGTGCTGGAACTGCAAGGGGACTGCAAAAACCTGACGGATCAGAAAATTGCAGATTCTCGACACAATTAGCTGAGTAGATTGTTGGGTCCAGCCGATTAGGTCACCCATCCTGCCATCCGACCACTACAATCATGAGGTGTTGACGCTGCTATCAGCGACAAGGAAATGTGGTTTCTGGATGTTGACGACTTGAATCGCACCGCAGACCTGGGCTCTCGAGACGAGAATTAATCAGTTCATATTTGTAATGCAGGAGAATCAATGAAAGGACTTTGAGCGCCTGTACAGGTATTACAGAGTGACAAGGTCAGCTGCGCCACTGAACACGAACGCCAGGCATATACCCACATTCTCTTGGTATCGTGCTCGGCAGCGATCAATGATTTAGAGAATCACTCCTTTGCTTCATGGCGATGGCGCAGAGAGCTTTAAGAAATTTGAGAAGCTTTATGGAGAATTACCAGGTCTTTTGGATTCTTCTCTTTGGAATGGCATGCCCGCCACCCGGGACCACCAGCGCAGCAGACCGAATCATAGCATGAGGGGAGCAGCTTCTGACTCACGCTCATCATTCCTGCTCAGCTCCACTTTCAGCCTCCAGTTTTATCCCCCTACCCTATCCTCTCTTTCAATTACCAAACAACCCATGTCTGTTATTATTTCCAGTGCCTGCTTTCATTACCACTCAAATCTCCTCCTTTCTTACACAAATATCTCAACGAAGACCCCAACTCACAGAGATCCCTGAATCTTTCATTCAGCAAAACAACTTTAGGTTTTAGAATTAGGGCCACGAGTAATCTTTGATGCAGCATAATTGACACCCTTAAACTCCAAAGTGGAGTTATCTTTGCAGTCAAATTAGAAAGTGGCTGTCGAGGAAAGGATGAACAGCTTGGACCCACGCAATGCATTGTTGTCAGGCAGAATATGGCGGAGTTTTTCGCAACCCCTAAAGCTCTGCAAAAAGAATGTGATATTTAAAAGCAGATCTCGGCAAGCGATGCGTAGTTGAATCTGAACCTAGATTTACTGAACCTCGGCTACTGCTCTGCTGCTGGCCTGTTTGCTGAGCTTCATCGTCTAAAAGAAACCTCCATCCTTGACAGGGATATTGTTTTCTTAAATTTTTTTCCATATGATTTCTAAATTAGATTAGCCACGGGGTTTTCCCTTTTCCAAATCACTAAGGTAATGTAACTTTGAGGTTTCATAGTTTCAGCGGCTGGACAGTTGCTTTGCCGTCTCTAAGAAGCGCAGGCCTATGGGGATGGTGCTGGTTGCTTCAGGGACGATGTGGTACCGAGAGTCCAGCAATATTCTTGTAAACAGTCGAAGCCAGTATGATCATCTTCTCCACGGTATCGCTGATGATGATCGTCACCGTGACGCGTCTTTACAGCTGATACCCTGGCAAATAATTTCCAGGTATAATTTGATAATCAACCTTTTTACACCAATCGTCGGAGCTTGTCCTTGAGTTTCCAAGCAACCCATATGCGGTAATCACTCAAGTAACACTCGCCCACCTGAACTAATTTTCTTGTTCGCGCTACATCCATTCTATCGTAGGTAAACAATGCTCAAATCAAGGGAGAAGATGAAATTAGGATTAAAATCGATGCCAGCATGATTACACTAATTCTTCAACTCGAGTGAGTGTTACCCTTTAGAAAATCGATCCACTCTGTTGCGACAGTGTTGCCAACAGAGTCGGCTTCGGGTATTGACCAAGATACTATACTGAAATGCAAGCAAAAACGTTTCAACAAGGCCATCAGATATTGGCCAATTTATAGAGCTTTGTCTGAGGTACCCAGCTTCTCCTGTTTGTTGCATAGTGGTTTTCTCCTGTTGTCCGAAGTGGTTTTCACCAATCTGAGAGCGCTTAGTCCTGTCGTGATCTAATTTCCCTGAGCCCTACATGTCGACGGACAGGCGGAGTGACGGCGTGTCGTGGTGAACCCACAAGCTGTTCATGGCTGCGTGCGTTTTTGTAGTTCCATCAGAATCCCAACACGTCTATTCTGCTGTCTCATACGCGCTTGTTGCTTCTGCATGAAAGGTGAGGGATCAATTCTGGCATGCCGTACTAATTAGCTTCCAAACATGCAGACAATTCAAGTGCCCTTCGAGCCAAAATTGACGGTTTAGTAAAGTCAAAATATCCTCAAAACTTCACGTCATGCCACCAATCAATCATACAACTAGGCAGGTGATCAGACCAAATCAAGACAAAGGACGTTGGAAAGGGAAGAGACAGCTCCTTCAAAGTTTTGCAGATATAACAATGGTGGAGACAATTGCAGGCCACAGTTTCTACTTCACTCCGACAATTAAACTTTTGTGTTTGTAAATATTTACAGGATCCTCTCAATGAACTGTGCTCCACGGCACTGACAACTTCATCAGTTGCTCCTCCAGAATATGGGAAAAAAACCAAATAAATCACACAACGAATATCCTCTGGCAAAAAAAGACGTCTCTACAGAGGAAAATATGGATATAAATAAAAACTGAAATTGAACTCGCAATCATTCAGATAATTGTGAACTTCTTTGCAGGAACTGTGAATCTTTTGCTTGTCGAAAATTTGCTGTGTGTGTTTACATGTACTGTGGCTGTAACTCTATGCAACCCCAATCAAATTCTTCTTAAGTTTTGCTCCATTCAAACCGATTATAACCAGCAGACTTGAAAGAAGATTCTTCTGTCACTACCCCTCTAGATCCATGGCTACCTCAATACCAAGTAGTTGAGCTGCCCTCCATGTTTGTTAACCTCTCTCGGACACCCGAACGGGCAGAACGTGTCCTAGATCTTCTAGAGGAAGATAAGTTAAAGCACAATTAAAGCACAGAACCTCGCCATAATCATAGCAGTAGTGTCGACAATCACTAACAATAACTTGTATCTGACAATAGATGCATGTATTGCTGTTAAACTTGCTGCATTGGTATTAACATTACAGACTCCGATCAACACATCGTCGACCAACAGCCAGCTGTGTATCAAGTTTTGATACCCATTTGCTCAAAAAAGAAAAAAAATATGTCACATATATTGTTAGTGACAAGAACTACTCCATCTTCAAAGTACGAGTTCAAAGGGGAAGAAGGTAATAATGCAGCTCTCTAGCACGTTCCTCATTGAATTGCTTCATTTGTGGTTACAAGACCTTCAGACCAGAGGCAGAATTTTGTTCAACAACAACCGTAATACCTGTTTCACGGATGCTCAAATGTCTTCTGGCATCTAGTTCCAATAACAGACATTCGAAAAGAACCACCTGAATCAGCAAAAATCTTCCCCATGTTGCGTCTGCTGAAATTTTGCAAAATCTTCTTGGGCAGATAGTACTGCACCTATAGATCTGTTGTTTACCTCAGTAGATATCAATCATAGCTCTCTTAAAAATCGAAACAAGAGAAAAAAGTAGGAAAAAGATGAGGAAGAAATGATGTAGTTACTCGCACCCTGTTATGATCCACGGCGTCATCCAAAAGAAACGTTCTCACTTTCGGGTTCACGTATCAGTTCCATTCCTCTTGCTTGACCTCGACAGATTTGAGATACTGGTGCAGATCAATCAGTCTATCTAGCAACATATTCTAAACCTTCGCATGGAAATGACGAAAACTGTCAAGTGAGTGACCACTCTTGACAGTTCTACAATCAAACCCCTCCGACCTTAAATCATTCGAGCACTACCATGATTAGTCTAAAGTTTAACTAAACATCATGGACCACTGTGGCAATTTTAGACTGTGCTGCAAGCATTTCTGAAGGACTACTGCTCATAGAGTAAACCAGAAACAGCAAGAGAAAACCTAATCGATCCTCCTGCTCCACAGTTCACACCTACGACCAGGAAACTGCAACTCACAAGCTGAACGGCACGGAGATTCATCAGCGCACACCGCCACACGATGAAAACACCAGATCCACCACTGTAACAGGTGCTGCCGATGCACATTTGTGTACATATATATAAACACAAATATATATGTATATATATATATATATATATATATATACAAATGCATTTAAGAAAGCAACACTGAATGCAATTATTTTAGCATTGCTAGCAAAATTCTCAACATCGAAACAATTCTTGTCCTATGGGATTCCAACAAACCTATCTGCTGCTGCAGGAATGGATCAGTCTTCACTTTGAACCACAGCACTTGGCTGTTGCTCAAGAGCTAAGCTAAACTTAAAACAGCAATTGGGCTACAGTAGCACAGTGGGAGATCCTTTGGCCATCCGGGTAGGGCGAAGGAATTCTTTCCAGTGCAGAACTCTTCTCCACAGTCCTTACAGATCAGATCAATCCTGAAAGTTAGCAATATGTGAGACTCTAGTAGAAGATTGCAGTTCAAGGAAGAGAAAGCTATAAACTTTCCTCTTCTTCTGTTGATTTTGTTGTTGTTGTTGTTGTTGTTGTTTTTTTTTTTTTTTTTTTTGAATATATTATTATTATTATTATTATTAAAGAGTTGTTATTTTGTGTTAGCATCAATCAAGAAAGATTAGAGATTTTATAATTAGAATTTGAACCATCAATTGTTTTGTATTATTTTATTACTTTTTAGCAGTTTTGGATCATTCTGAAGCACACAATGTTAAAATTTGATATTATACAATTTAAGTTTTGATTTATGAAGAGCATTGAAGGACCAAGTAGTTTCTTATGTTTTACCGTAGTGATCTATTCACACAAGAAAGAGCTCTCTCCATACTTTACCAAGTCTATGATAAAGTGTTAGGGACATAATCCTTAGAATCTTCTAGAGACAAGTTTCTAGAACCTTCTAGAAGCAAGTCTCTGGAACCTTCTAGAAGCTTCTTAATTGGTAGAAGATATTAGGGACATAGTCCTTAGAACCTTCTAGAGATAAGTTTCTAGAACCTTCTAGAAGCTTCTTAGTTGGTAGAAGTTGCTTGAGAAGCTTCCTAAATAGAAGTATATATTGGAATCAAGGCTAAAGAGTTCTTCAGTCTCAACAACACATCTCTTGGAACTCTAGCTCACCTCTCTGGTGTTGTTCTCATCTGATTAATCTAGTTCTTGCCAGTTCTTGTTGAACTTCTTGTTAGATCTCGAGTCTGTATTTCTGTGTCCGTGACAGTTTGTCGAGACTACACTCACCTCAGATATCAGAGCTAGTTTCTTCCTCGTTAGAGTGTGGATTACCCCTCTGCTTGGAAGTGTACTAGCATTTTAGAGGTTGCGGATTACCCTCCTCTAAACTGATACTTCTTTTGTTACAATATTGGAGTCTTATTCTTCTTGGAGAGAGTGGATTACCCCTTTTCTTGAAGCTCTTAAGGCATTTTAGAGGTTGCGGAGTACCTTCCTCTAAACCAATATTGTCTTCTTGTAGAGTCATTTCTGTCCTTCTCTTAGAATGGCCGGGGGCCAAGACATTAGTATGACGAAAAGTTCAGAGTCCAAGTTGGATGCTATCATGAATGCCCTTGCTACGTTATCGCAAAGAATTGCAGAGATTGAAGGAGTCGTGGCAAGGCTTCATAATGATGGAGCATTTGGGATGGCACAATCTAAGTTGCGCCAACTTCAAACTTTTGCACTTGGAAAAGCAACTTTGTCGCAAGTTCGACAAGCACCGCTGGTTCTACAACATAAGGAGCCCCGAGTTAGCCTTCCGGACAAGTTTGATGGTACGTGTTCCAAGTTTCAAGGATTCGTCAACCAAATAAGGTTGATAACAGTTTTACAGCTTGAACGCTATCCAACGGAGGAGTCACGTGTTGGGCTTGTTGGAACCTTACTTACAGGACAAGATCTATTATGGTTTACTCCTTTGTTTGAGAAACGATCGTCTATACTAAACAACTTTGAAATCTTTTTGGAGGCGTTTGCAGAAGCATTTGGTGAACACGACAAGGTTCGATGGACTACAACAAAGATCCAGTCACTATGACAAGGGATGCGCTCTACATCAATCTATGCATAGGACTTTAGGCAATTAGCATGCGACATCAATTGGGACGAAGAAGCGTTGATGAGTCAATTCTATTGGGGTTTAAGGGACGATGTGAAGGATTTGCTGTTAACTCTTCCTGATCCACAAATGCTCAATGAAGCTATTAGCCAAGGTGTGAAGTGCAATAACCACCTATTTCAACACTGTCAAGACCAACGTTCAAGATAACATATAGTTCGCCACGCCCCAACTATGTCGATAAGTAGCGTGAATTTACATTCAGAGGTAGAAGACATGCAAATTAATGCGGTACGTGTCAAATCCCTTACTCTAGAAGAAAAAAAACGGCGTATGGAAGAAGGTCTATGCTTGTATTGCGGTGAAGAAGGCCACAAAGTTGGAAATTGCCCCAAGAAGCAAAATCGACGTATTATCAAGACTACGGGCACGTTTATTCAGGATAACGAGGATGCCCAGCCACAATAGGAACCGTGCGGCTGGACAGTGAAACATCGCAACAACAACCAAGTTCCTTTCTTTCCGCTCAACTTGCCTTTTGTTTTACAATCCCTTTACTTATTGGTCCTCAGAAACTGAGAACTTTAGCATTATTAGATTCAGGAGCATCTGCTTGTTTCTTAGATGAAGAATTTGCGAAGCATCATAAGATCCCTTTAGTACAAAAATCCAAACCTGTTCACGTTGAGGTCATAGATAGGTGACCTTTATTGTCTGGTAGTGTCACCCATAAATCAGAACCTATAGAAGTGATGTTTAAGGGCCATAGTAGTCATATTATTTTCAATATTATTAGAACTCCATCAAATTCTGTTATTCTTGGTCTTTCCTGGTTGAAAAAGCATAAGCCATCCATAGATTGGAAGTTGTGGAAGATGACCTTTCCCACAAAACCACCCAAAAACAAGCCTAGTAGAAAACCCCGAATAGAGAAATCCTTATTTATTGGAGCAAGAACATTTATAAGATCGTCCAAGGAAGGCACACCGTTTGTCATTTATGCGGCTCCAACTACCAGGGAGAAGATCTCGACAACAAGTATACTGGAGCAATATAAGGATTTTAAAGACGTGTTTCAAAAGAAAAATGTCGACATGCTACCGGAAGACAGACCATATGATTGCACCATAGACTTACAAGAAGGAGCACATCCGCTTTTTGGCCCAATCTACAATCTATCGCAGACGGAGTTGGCAGAATTGTGGAAGTACATCGACGAGAATCTAGCCAAGAACTTCATCCGTCATTCAAAATCGTCAACTGGAGCACCCATCTTATTTGTGAAGAAGAAAGATAGCTCATTGCGGATGTGTGTGGACTATCGAGGCCTCAGCAAGGTAATAAAGAAGAATCGTTACCCGTTACCCTTAATTTTTGGTCTCTTAGAACAACTTGGACGTGCAAGGATTTTTACAAAAATTGATCTAAGGAGAGCTTACAACCTCGTACAAATCAAGGAAGGAGATGAGTTGAAGACAACGTTTTGTACAAGGTATGGCTATTTTGAGTATAATGTCATGCCCTTTGGTCTTACCAATGCTCCAGCAGTCTTTCAACATATGATGAATGATATTTTCCGAGAGTACCTTGATGATTTTGTTGTCATCTGTTTAGATGATATTCTGATATTCTCCAAAAATGAGGAAGAGCATGAAAAGAACATTCGTTTGGTCTTGGAGAAACTATGCAAGCGAGGACTATATGCCAAGTTGGAGAAGTATTTATTTCATTAAGTAGAGATGGAATTTTTGGAGTTCATTGCGACTACAGAACGCTTGAAGATGGATCCCAAGAAGGTGGAAGCAATCGTGTCCTGGGAGGTTCCAAAGACGGTGAGAGACGTATAATGCTTTCTTGGCTTTGCCAACTTCTATCGGATCTTCATCAAGAATTACTCTCAAGTTGCTACTCCTCTCACTCGGTTGACATGTAAAGATAAGTTGGAATGGAGACCTGTAGCGGAGAAGGCGTTTCAAGCCCTGAAGACCGGATTTACTACGGCTCCAATCTTGGTACATCCAGACTTTACAAAGGCCTTTTATTTAGAAACTGATGCTTCGGATTTTGCTTTGGGAGCTGTACTTTCACAAATGGGAGAAGATAAGAAGCTCCATCCGATTGCATTCTATTCTTGAAAGTTCTCTGCTGCTGAAATCAATTATGAGATCCACGATAAGGAACTTCTTGCTATAGTGGATTCTTTCCAAGAATGGCATCATTTTCTTGAAAGAGCTGCACACCCAATAACCGTATACTTAGATCACAAGAATTTGGAGTATTTCATGTCGGCTTGAGTTCTAAATCGACGTCAAGCTCGGTGGAGTATGTTGCTATCTAGGTTCGATTTTGTTATCACTTATTGATTTGGAAAGCAGCAAGGACTATTTGATGCCTTATCAAGGAGATCGTATCTTGTACCAAAGGCTGATAAAGCAGCGTTTGATCAACAATGTATGACGTTGTTGAAGCCAGAGCAATTTCGGCTTTGTGTTATTATTGTACCAATTGATGCTAACTTCCTGAATCAGGTACATGCCGTGACCATTGAAGATTCAATAGCCATTAATATCAAGCAGCGTACCAATGACGATAAATTCAAGATGGAGGGAGATCTTTTATACTTTGAGGAGCGGTTGTATATCCCAAAAAGACCAGCACGACTCCGAATTCTTCAATCTCGCCACGATTTTCCAGCTCCGGGACATTTTGGATTCAACAAGACCTTGGAGCTTATTTTTTGAGATTTTTGGTGGCCCCAAATGTGGAAGGATGTGAAAGATTTTGTCCTCTCCTACGACATTTGTTTAAGATCCAAGAATCCTCGACATCGCCCTTATGGACTCCTACAGCCATTGTCGATTCCATGTCGACGATGGTCTTTAGTTTCCATGGACTTCATCACGGACCTTCCATCATCGAACTCATTTGACAGCATCTTTGTCATGGTAGATCGGCTTACAAAGATGGCACACTTTGTTCCTTGCAAAAAGACATCGTTCAGTGAAGTCACAGCAAGGCTCTTTCTCGATAATGTGTATCGATATCATGGACTACCAGATGATATCGTATCAGATCGAGGAACCTAGTTTGTATCAAAGTTTTGGAGATCTCTCTTTGAGATACTGAAGGTGGATATCAAGCTTTCTTCGACTTTTCATCCTCAAACTGATGGCCAAATGAAATGGGTGAACCAAGTCTTGGAACAATACTTACGATGCAGCATCAACTATGAGCAAGACGATTGAACCACATATTTGTCGCTAGCCGAGTTTGCATATAACAATACCCTCCATGCGTCGACTCAATACACACCATTCTTTTTCAACTATAGGTATCATCCGAAGCTTGATTTATTGAGTCCGTCAACAAGTAATAATC